AACTGACTGCGGCAGCCGTGAGCGATATACTTGTGGTTGAACTGGATGGCCAAATTCAACTGTCCTGATTAATATTTGTTTTAGATTTGTCCGTTATAAACCTACTTCGTGCTCCAGCGTCTCCTCCGTTATACTTCATTGTTATGCTTCCTATTTCTTCCATTTTGTGTTCACGTAGGTGGAACCGAGGACCTCCTACAGGATGGAGAATTACAGTTGTGGCGAAACGAAATCGCAAGCCCAATGGAAGAGGGTGGCTTAGGCTTACTAGGTGTTCCAGGCAGCGCTACGAAAGTGAGTACCTGTTTATTTTGTTTATCATCATCGACCTCAATATGCATGTAGTAAACACTAGTGCTTAGCTGTCATGCAACCATAGGTAGCAATGCCCTAGCAAAGAGGGAGTAAAGGGTGGGGACTCAGTTCAGAGAAGCCCTTTGTCCTTAGGGGGAATGAACAAGACCAAAATGTATACACCTTCCGACAGCAGTGAGGAGGCAGATCGGAGCTTCATGCCATATTAAACGACCGTTAGTGAGATTGACCTGCGAACCTCACGAAACACTAGCCCATCAGACAACGACATGCACCTTTTGGCTATGCAGTCCATCTACGAATTGTTGGCGTGCTTTCCACTGGGATCAGTTTAGTTAGTTGCTGTAATTCACCGACCTCTTATTTCTTATCCTCCGTTACTGGGCCGTTTGGTTAACCCTCTGTATTCACTCCCATGTTTATCTACCTTCAAGGAAGTTAGCTGAATGCTTGCGCTGGGACATCTGCCAGGTTAGACCCATTTACCATTCAAAGTAGTGTGCGCTTCCCTAGTACCATACAAGACTCATCTCTCCACCAGTGGGTCACATGAAATGGCGCTGTGCATGCTTCCACCAAGTCTAACTACCTTGACGTACTGCACCAAGTAGTTGACACGAATTCTTTGCGGATTTACACCATGAGCTGACGTTTTGGTGAAAGCACAACAACGGCATGGAAGTCTTGGATTGTTACGCATGTTTGGAGGAACGACTGAGCATGAAAGACTAGGCAGCACTTGGAGATCTAGGTAACGAACCGTTCGAGAGGGCATTTGTACATGTAAGGTTCTGAATGCTTTCAAACTCAGCTACCCAATCGTTCTAGGTATCATGGCCCGATTCATGCGTGACCTGAAGTAAAGTGAGCTAAGGAGAATATTGACAGTCTTATCAAGTTACTACAGGTGTAAAAATGCTTTATATGCCCGATGGGAGGAACCACATTCAACAGCGAATTTACGAATGGGACGGGGATGGATATCACCAGTTATAATTTCATAAAGGAACGTCACCGGACTTTGGTTTGAACGTGAGGTAACTAGCTGAAGTTATTCGTCAAGATGATCCCGAGTCATTTCACGTCAGTGGTTCTTGGAAGGCAAACGTGATCAGCCATAAGCGATCGTCAGCTGCAAACAATATCTGAATCACACCCACGCGCTAATTTATCAGCTCGCCTTCAATGCACAGCTACCTACCCCACCACTCCAAATCATCGGTGAACGAAACTGTGGCAGGTACAACCACTGTACGACAATTACGCGTTATTACAGTTGACAATGATGATGATGATGACTTAACGTGGGGAAGAAAATAACACCTTGGTATTTGGAAACATCAGGAGAAAAGAGAATGCTTTCTGAACCGTCTAACCGGCTCGTAGTTGCACGTGAGCTCTCTGGAATGCGATGATGTTATCCAAGCCATGTCAGTATACTTACACAGGCCGGTTATGGAGAAGAGCGGCCGCATGTAAAATCTGTTCAGACCGGTAGTGATGATGGGTTTCTTTTGCCCAGGCGTATGAACTGGATAGTCATGTACAAGCCTGACTAAAAATCGCTAGTTACTGGTGTCCGCCAAAGAAGAGATGTAACAGCAGACCTTGATTAATACATAGACATGTGTACAACCTAAAAGTGTTTGGCATACAGTTTTAGCCCTTCTGTCAAGTTCTCATGAAACCGAATGCAAAATTTGCGTTACAGCGGACAATATGAAACGCAATTTTCAGTACGCAAACGTGGGATTTTACTCGATAAGCTTATACTTTCAAACACGTGTTGGCTGGCACCTCGTGTGACGACCTCTCGGATGGGGGGTTACACTCATCTTGTGAAATCCCTCTTCTGAGCTACTTATAGATTCTTGGTACGGATGTGCAAACAAGCATGTCGATGTTTCAAAGTTCTTTTCTCTCACAGAGAAGTTATCTTGGCTCTCGCCGCTCTTCATCAATTAGGCACTTTCCTCTAGTGTAACGCTGATCGAACGGAGCTGCAATGGGATCGCTGAGGGTGTGCGCACACAATCCGGGCAGTGACACTGTCACGAGTTCGGCACCACAGACTGCTTGATTATTACATTACGCGTTATTACAGTTGACAATGATGATGATGATGACTTAACGTGGGGAAGAAAATAACACCTTGGTATTTGGAAACATCAGGAGAAAAGAGAATGCTTCCTGAACCGTCTAACCGGCTCGTAGTTGCACGTGAGCTCTCTGGAATGCGATGATGTTATCCAAGCCATGTCAGTATACTTACACAGGCCGGTTATGGAGAAGAGCGGCCGCATGTAAAATCTGTTCAGACCGGTAGTGATGATGGGTTTCTTTTGCCCAGGCGTATGAACTGGATAGTCATGTACAAGCCTGACTAAAAATCGCTAGTTACTGGTGTCCGCCAAAGAAGAGATGTAACAGCAGACCTTGATTAATACATAGACATGTGTACAACCTAAAAGTGTTTGGCATACAGTTTTAGCCCTTCTGTCAAGTTCTCATGAAACCGAATGCAAAATTTGCGTTACAGCGGACAATATGAAACGCAATTTTCAGTACGCAAACGTGGGATTTTACTCGATAAGCTTATACTTTCAAACACGTGTTGGCTGGCACCTCGTGTGACGACCTCTCGGATGGGGGGTTACACTCATCTTGTGAAATCCCTCTTCTGAGCTACTTATAGATTCTTGGTACGGATGTGCAAACAAGCATGTCGATGTTTCAAAGTTCTTTTCTCTCACAGAGAAGTTATCTTGGCTCTCGCCGCTCTTCATCAATTAGGCACTTTCCTCTAGTGTAACGCTGATCGAACGGAGCTGCAATGGGATCGCTGAGGGTGTGCGCACACAATCCGGGCAGTGACACTGTCACGAGTTCGGCACCACAGACTGCTTGATTTCGGTCTGGACCTTATTTCATGCACAGTATTTACTGTTAATTTGTCCGTGAAATCAGCTTTGCTTGTGTGTGTTGTTGGAACATCCACAAACCCTAATGGATCTGTCGGGCATGTGAATTCATGGTTCAACTCTCTAGCCAAGTGCTGCTCGAGCAAGATTTGAACCAATTGCCAGACATTTGCTGAAGGACTCTCTGCGAAAACCACGTATTTAACCAATTAATTTCTGGTTCTATGTGACTAAGGAGCTGCTTAACTTCAGAGCTTTTCGTCAATTCACATTTATAGGCGTTTTCCGTAGACTGAATAGCCGTCCCGTCTGTTCACAGTCCAATATATCATTAAATTTGGTTCTGCTTTGGATTCCTTTTGTAGTACTGTGAACGTAAATCTGTTATTTTACACTTTCAACCCTTCGAACGCTTAGATGGGTGATCCACCGGAAGAGGTCTTTGGCCTAGTCACCATGGATGAGACGGGGAAGTTTCTAGTGGGGATCTTATACCTTGCCATTATTGTGGCCGGATCTGCTCTACGCCTGCCCATGTTCGACGAATATGGTTTTCCAGCCCACTATCCTCTCAGTTTGTTTGGTTCACCTCCATCAGACCCAGGAGTTTCAGGTAGGCAACGTGTATTTCATAAGACTGCTCTTTTTTAACCTGTTGTGGGATGTTGAATGCCATGCAGTTAATAACTCACTTGTATTATTTCCTTCTCTTGTTGGTCGATAATTCAAAAAGGAGTATTGGTTACATTCTTGAGTCATTTCTTTCAGCATGTCTCATTACTTTACTCGAGTGACACGGAAATCATCTTACATGTATTTTGCACGCAAAGATGACGGACGCGAATGTGTTCTAGGCACTTCGTCGGAATGATGAACAACCGTCTTGAAGGAACACCACTCATAAGGTTGTTGAAATCTCGTTGACAGCCCACGACTGGTTTCGCTTTCCCTAGGGTTCATCAGATAGATGCAGTCCCCAATTTTCTGTCAATCTTAGGTTCTGCTTGAACCCAGATTGGATGGAAGTCGCAAAATATACTCTTTTGCACACTTATTTGCTTTTAGCAGTGGCTCAGCTAAACTGTCGCTGAATTCCTCGCTCATGATAATCTTCAAGTGAATGTGCTACAGGAAGGCCGCCTCATGTTTCATTTGGTGTGATATTTGGGATATCACAGTATGTTTTCTTGGTGGAACACTACTCGAATGTCGTAGCAGTTGAAGCATGAGGTGGCCTTTGTGCAGCGCATTTAATCGAAGATTTTCATAAACCAGAGATTCAGCTGGGATTCCTTTGGGTCTTTCAAGTAAGTGTACATATGAGTGTATTTCTCGAAGAGCTTTCATTGTTCTCGCCTAATGGAGGGATCTGTTTTGCAACATAGTGAGCTACCAACATTGTCGGAATGTATAGGATGAGATGCCCAACGTTACTTATCTGTTAGGCCATCGACTCTCCTTGGGTTCCTGTTCTTCAGTTTGATTTGTTCTTGTAGAATGTCAATGAAACGGCTTCTCATTTGTCCACTTCTCTTGAACTTCTGGTTTTAGAAGCGAGTATGATGAGCAATGCCCCTGGGAGTGTGGCAAGTCATTCAACAACCAGGGGGATGAATGAGGTTATCACCTCATTGCCTAACCGTCAAATGACAGTTGAAGTAGTCCTCTACACACGCCTGGCCAGTCGGGTTCAACAGTCAGTCCTAGGCAAGTATGAGTCGGATTACATCTTCAAACCGAAGGCAGTCGCCATACTGGAAGAGTGAGTTTACGCAAATACCTAGTGGCCTTGTTTTTTGAGAGACTAAGTACCATGTGGCTGGTGGTAGTAGGCTTGCTGGATATTGTGTTCGACTCCTCGAGTACTTTAGCTAGCCTTTTTCTAGGTATAACGTAACCAAAGCGACTTGCACACTAAAAGAACGCACCGTTGAATTATGACATGTCAGCTCGGATACCATCGGTTATTAGTAACTTGCAGATCACTGTTATGTGTTTGTGTGTGTGTGCGCGCGCACGTGCACGCGCACGCCCGTTTGTATGGTAGAATCTCTACCGACTTGATTTGATATGACTGCTGACTGTGTGTGGGGTGCGTGGTGGGTGGGTGAGTGGGTGGGCGGATGTGAATGAATATCGCTGCCACCATTGTGGTCAGTTGATTGTCTATGACTCAGTTCCCGCCTCCTGCCTTTCTGGCTGTGCAAGTTTGAGGTCAGAACGATCCAGCTGGAAGGCAACCCCATCGCTGCATTTGACAGGTCACTGGCTAATAGCCAGCTAATAGCTAGCTAGTACCTAGCTAATAGCTAGAGGTTCGGCCCACATCCGTTCTGGGTTAAACGTGAAAACTTGTGGTCAAAATGTTAGCGAGCACATTTTGTGAATTGGAGCTTTTTTCTGACTTGTTTTACTTGAGTTTGCAGCCTCGGATGACTAATCACGCACACCTTTCAGACGGAGCATAGGCTTGGGAATTTTGAATGAACGAGTGATCCAACGTATGTCCGGACGTCGAGTTTAATATTGTCCTTTGCTGCCACGAGCAGATTGCTGGGGTGGGGAATTTGAACACAACGAAGCGGTGGATCGCGTCTTTCACGTCATCAAAAGCTCCTGAATCTGTCGGACCAACTTGTAATTCCGATTACTATTCGAGTGAAACCCACGTTAGTATACTAACCCGGCAAATGCGTGAAGATGTTCACGCGGAGAGCCCGAAAACCGAGTTGGTGGTAGATATCCTCAAAACACCTGAGCAAAGCTAAGACAAGAGTCTTTTTTGGTCGAGCTAAATGATTCGAAATATCTTCAAAATGAGATGGTATACCGTGACGGTGCAGTGATTTTACCTCACCCTGTTTTCACCTGTTAGTGTTTTTACGTGATTTGGTCAAATTAATATTCGCCTAAACTCTGAATTTGATGTCACCTGCTGGCTTTGTGTCACCTAACTGCATCGAATTACCGTGGAAATGATTGGCGGTCCTATAATCTCGTCGCTTGGTGTATGGGAAGATTACGCGTGTTTTTCAGCTACTCTGTTGCGTTTAACTAAGGCTAACCAATAACTTGGTAACACAATACTGTCATACTCAAATTTCGCAATTCTCGATGTGCACTATCTGCTCTTCCACCTGATATCGGTGCTCTCATGGAGTAGCAGAGGCCTCACGTTTGCCCGTATGCTTTAGCTGATGGTTACTCCAGATTATTTGTCCCATTTTGGAAAAGCTGTAGATTGTGCTATCTTATTTCACACTGAGTTTCTGAAAAGCACAACCCAGAACAGTTATAAGCCATTCATTATTCTAGTGTATCCAGATGAGTCCAATCCAACAGCTGAGGAGCCGACTCATGATGTTGGGCTTTCTGCACGATTCGATGGTCGGCACCGACCTTAATAAATCTTGGGACCCGGGTCTCAAGATTATCTCATTTGTTGGTCGTATTCAAGCAGCGACGTGCAAACTAAAGTCAATGTTGCTACCGCTTGCCACACTGCACAATGGAAAATAACTTCAGTTAGAATCGAAATGTAGTTCTGTAACTGGAGTCAATTCTTGCCGAATGGTCGAGAGGCACTACCCTTATTGAGGATAATCCGCAGGGTGTATCTCACAAATCTCCGCGACTTGCCGGCTAGTAGTTGAAAACTAAACGGGTTTTGGCTACGAGTGACTCAGCAGCTGCGCGATTCGCTCCCACCTAGACAGGATATGGTATCACTCACCCTTCAGTGATGGAATCCATTTCCTGTGGCCGCTTGTTGACTTGCGCCCCGGGTGACAAACTCTCAAGCAGTAGCCGGAAAGTTGTGGTTTCAAATCCTTCTAGAGATCCGTGATGGTTCCAAATTTGGATGAAACAGCTTTTCAGTGTTCTGTGGCTTTCGGCATCGACCGACTTCCCTTACGGGGCGAAATATCGATCGTGTTAGCCGAAACTCACCATACTACCCACAAATTACTCTAGTTATTTGAATGCCACCGACACTTTCCTGGCAATGGGTTGGTGATCTGGTGTTAGTTGCTCTGCTGGGCGATCGGCCTGCAAGTTTTGCGGTACATTGCCAGTTCCAGTGACAATTCTAGGACGAAGAGAATAGTGTAACAAATGTTTTAGGGGTACATGCATTGAACCGGACGCCCAGTCTTACAGGTGTGCTTGTTATCTATGGATTGAACTGTTGTGTTCAGGTTTTTCTCGTCGTATATTTTAGCGCTACAACCATGCGGAAATGGGCTGGTGAGAACCATGGGTCCTTTTAAAACGTACCACACTGTTCAGTGCCATTTCTCATCACCTGACAAAACATGGCGGATGCTAATTCCTGTTCTCGCCTTGCCACTTCATAGGTTTCGAAAAGATCTCGCAGATGCAGTTTCACAAATCGACGCTAACAATCTTGCACGTGATATGCATCATCAGTATCGGGCTTTGGATCCATCTCTTATGCCAAATTACCCAGGGATTTAACATCTCTTTTACCCGCGTCATTCCATTCGTTTCGTGTACAATCATGCTGTTATTGACTTTTGATTCAATTCAGTTTTCGGTCTTAGTTGTTTTTTCAATTATTTCTTCTCTTTTACCGGCTTGTGCATGGCTAATCACTCTGTACATTTGATTTTGGGAGAAAACGGTATCGCGTTCTCCTTGACCGCAAACATATCATGCGAACCACCAGACATATCAGCTGCTCATGGTCATTTTATTTTCTCCTTATTTAACTGTTGCCTTTTTTATACATTTAAAGGTTCATTTTACCTCACCTGTGCAGCGTTACTATTTCACTTATGTGCTTATTCTAATCGGATCTTACCGTCTTCCTTCGATTGTCTACACGTTCAACAAATAAATCCTTAGCTTCCATGTTTGGTTTCCCTAGTGTTCTCTCGTCACGTGTCGTTTGCTGTGTGATGCTTTTTTATTTGGCAGGAGGTATTTGTTTGTTTGTTTCGCTTGAAGGAATGGCTTGGCTTCTTATATTTCTCAAATCACATCTGTTGATTACGTAGGTTATCATGAATCGGTGCCATGCAGCTGAGCTCGAATAATAACCCAAAAATGATATAATATATCACGATGGCCCACTCAAATATAATTATTGAGGATTCGATAAATGTTGCACTCATTCATCCTATCTTCCAACTTTTTAACCATCATTCCTTATGTCAGTTGCGATATTCGAACAGGTGGTGTGTATGTGTCACCGTCTAGGTCAAGTCAAATTCAGCTTGAAAAGCCCTGGATGTAGTCCGATCGGGAATTGGAAGTATTTAGGAGAAGACCAATTATGTGACGGTTCGATGGCATAGGTTACTCAAGTTGTTATGTTTTCTCTGATAGGAAACCGGCTATTCGGCAAGTGAATAATTTTGTACAGTTCTGAGAATGCGTTTCTTCGAAACGGATCTCAGTGAAACAGGTAGTCCATAGGGCCGTGGTTCCAACGAACCCAGAGTGTTTACTGTATAAGGGAGTACTGTTCCACGCAGGCGATTTTTCATTCTGAAAACATTACTTGGTTTGTGACGAACCATTACTGAGGTATGGCGGTTTTGTCGCTTGGCTGGATGCTGCGGTGCCTTTATCTGTCTGAATCAAACCCGTATACCAGCTTGATGCTGTTCAGGTCACTTCATTCTTTAGACTGCATTAGACCATCATCTATGTTGGGCGTTTGTGGTCTCATAGGAGCAGTACGGTTGAAGTTTTAGGTTGTGAACAGCATTGGTTTCTTTGGAACCTAATACAACAATACCGAACTAAGTAAACGCCTTTAAGTGGCTCGGCAGCCCAGTGCTGTATTTGGTAGCTTAGTGATTTTGAGAATGCTGGGAACCTACGGAGAAGTCTTTGTTGAGAAGTTAGGAAAGTGGTCGGTAGATTTATTGATGGACAACGTTCCGCTTATGATGCAAGTAACTTGGTTACAGGCGTTTCTCAGCTGACCTCGTGTTCTGACGGTGCCAAGTGAAAACGACCGTCTGGCTAGACTCTAGGTAAACTGAAAAAGCCATTCGATATAAGGTGTCTGGAGCACACTATTATCCCTACATGATCGTTTGGTCACCGGTCACATCTATCGCTTCAGCCTGAATAGCTTTCTCAGCGGCCAAGTCATTCCTCAAACAAGGGGGTTTGCTCAAACACTTAGCATTCCACTGATATCCCACAATGCGCATATAGACTCAGCCTTGATCTTCAGACCGTTGTCTCACCCGCCGACTTCCATACGCCCAACTCTAAAGTAACAGATGAAACCTACTCGGAGTTAGCAATACAAGGATAAACATATACGTGAGGTCGAACAACTGCTTTGCACAGCACACAACACCTAGCCGGCGGAACTTACCAATGCTAACAATGGCACCATTACGTCAATAATGAATTGGAGTAATACTGTAAATGTTAGGTATCTAATATCAATACTAAATATCACACTAAATATCGATACTAAACTATCTGGAACAAATTAATTGGTACCGGCTGTATCCAAAACGTACACTCAAACCACAGCTGTACGGACTGCCTAAATTCCACAGTTCATGTAAAACCGAAAATGAAAGGTATGGGTTCTACACCGCAGGAGCTGGCTAAATTCTTAGCGTGCATGGTGAAACCATCGACGGGGAATTCGTACAACTGCCAAATTTCGCGGTATTCCCCTGTGGAGGTAACCAAGAGGTTGTTACAACAACGGATACAACTCTTACGGATGAGATAGTTGACAACACTAAGGTGTGTCCGAACCCCGTCCATTTCTCATTTGCCAGTTGTTAACTGGCGATACGACCTCTAATATCTCCAATATTTATGTAGAGGATATTGAACGGAAAGCCTAGACCTGGTATCGCTGTGAGCCACGGGTTATTTGACGTTAGATTGACAGCGTCTCGATCTGTGCGGACACCCTGCCTCACGTGGCATCAGATGATGCGTCGAGTTGAGTTATGTTTGCGGCTAAAGGGAATCTGTCATCGAGTCTCCAGAAAGTAATAATAGTTCAGCTGTAGCACCATTTCGGTGCCTAACTGTCATACCACCCGAAGGAAGCACCAGTGCTGAGATATTACCGGATTGCCCAAGCCTAAATAGAAGCAGTCCATTACAGTACTTGTGTCCTGTATCCTTGTTCTGGACAGACAACATGCACCAACGCAGTGGGACTCCACCGTATGAGTAAGGGCCATCTGTTATCCTGCTTGCTTCGGTGTGCGAACATTAATGGAAGCTATGTAGACCGGCTTTCGGGGTTTAAAAACAGATTTCGAAGTATTTAAGGTTGCAACTAAGTGTGAACAAAGCAGTCAGTCCTAGTGCTGGGATCTGCGGAGTGAGTATTCAAATTTGGGTGGGGTGGGGTTAAGATGTTTTAGGTGGAAGTATAAGAAGGGAGGCGTCAGCGGTAGCATTTTTTTCTTTTACCCGCCCTGCTGTATGCAGTAAGTAAGGCGACCCGACTAATGAAACCACGCGACGGCCGATGTGGCATGAGAGTATTGTAAATTGTGAATGTAATCGTTGTACGTGGGTCTGCCTAAATTCCACAGTTCATGTAAAACCGAAAATGAAAGGTATAGGTTCTACACCGCAGGAGCTGGCTAAATTCTTAGCGTGCATGGTGAAACCATCGACGGGGAATTCGTACAACTGCCAAATTTCGCGGTATTCCCCTGTGGAGGTAACCAAGAGGTTGTTACAACAACGGATACAACTCTTACGGATGAGATAGTTGACAACACTAAGGTGTGTCCGAACCCCGTCCATTTCTCATTTGCCAGTTGTTAACTGGCGATACGACCTCTAATATCTCCAATATTTATGTAGAGGATATTGAACGGAAAGCCTAGACCTGGTATCGCTGTGAGCCACGGGTTATTTGACGTTAGATTGACAGCGTCTCGATCTGTGCGGACACCCTGCCTCACGTGGCATCAGATGATGCGTCGAGTTGAGTTATGTTTGCGGCTAAAGGGAATCTGTCATCGAGTCTCCAGAAAGTAATAATAGTTCAGCTGTAGCACCATTTCGGTGCCTAACTGTCATACCACCCGAAGGAAGCACCAGTGCTGAGATATTACCGGATTGCCCAAGCCTAAATAGAAGCAGTCCATTACAGTACTTGTGTCCTGTATCCTTGTTCTGGACAGACAACATGCACCAACGCAGTGGGACTCCACCGTATGAGTAAGGGCCATCTGTTATCCTGCTTGCTTCGGTGTGCGAACATTAATGGAAGCTATGTAGACCGGCTTTCGGGGTTTAAAAACAGATTTCGAAGTATTTAAGGTTGCAACTAAGTGTGAACAAAGCAGTCAGTCCTAGTGCTGGGATCTGCGGAGTGAGTATTCAAATTTGGGTGGGGTGGGGTTAAGATGTTTTAGGTGGAAGTATAAGAAGGGAGGCGTCAGCGGTAGCATTTTTTTCTTTTACCCGCCCTGCTGTATGCAGTAAGTAAGGCGACCCGACTAATGAAACCACGCGACGGCCGATGTGGCATGAGAGTATTGTAAATTGTGAATGTAATCGTTGTACGTGGGTTGGGATACCGCCAGGGCGCCCACACTTAGACAGGAAGACGCATAGGTTCCTCGACCAAATCATTTGGCTCCAAAGCCTAACCGCAAGGCATCGGTGTTTGTCAGGGGATTCAAGTCCATAATAATTTTTGTAGAACCAGTCGCCCCGCATGTTCCATCTCCCAATCTATGAGGCCAGGAGACTGTTGCTCAGACCTCTAACCATTGAACAACTTTGGTATTAGAGACTGGGTATCGCACGGTACCCCTTTTATGACTCAGTGGGTCACGGAGATACACAGGCCGTCATGCTGCTACTGCATCAAGGCGGACAGTTCTGTCCGTCATTTGAGCATTTTCTACAACTTAGGTCTAAAGGAAGAAAATCATAGCATGTTCGTTGCCAGAAATTCGGTTAAGTATGGAGATGTCTAACCGCATGGGGTTCATCGGATGGATGTGAATGCGACCGGCCATGTGGCACTTCGGCTGACATTTACTGATTTTTTATATAAGGACTACAGCTTTTTTGAAGAATCTAATTTTTGGCCAATTATTGGCTTGATTAACTGGTTTGCTTGTGAATATCGACGTTGCTAGTAATCGATCCTTTCTGAGGAGCCGGAACAACCTATTGTCCTGTAGCCAGGTCATTTACTGGTCAACAAATTTGCTAACGAGACAGTTGGTTAGTCCGAGCCCTGTATTTCAACTGAAAGATCACTCAAGTAGGGAAGTGCTGCTTGGTTACCGCTGAATTACCATATTGCCGCTTCGTGAATTCCGGCTTGGGGTCATTCACTGGGTATGAGCATGTCGTGAACTAGCCTTTTGCGACTTGATTGGTGTCACATCCTGACTGGAGTGTTCAGTTGTCGCTCGTCAACTGGATTCGATTTTCGCCTCCGTGTCCGCCGTCTGTTGCAAAGTTTGTCCACTGTTGTTATTTGAAGTTGCTTGCCTTAACCATATTTGTGTTATAGCGGGAAAACCGGGTTTTTGTTTTGGATTTCGTTAAACTCATTTTCTTTCTTTGAAGGAATGACCTGGCTGAGAACGTTGTTAGCAGTCTCCAAGTGTTTTGGAGCATGGAGCAGCTCCACACTGGTAACTCGCCAGATTGGTCCCACATGCTCTTGTAGTCACTCAGATAAACGGTAAGTGAAGGGTTTGACTTTGACTGGACAATGTTGCCAGTTCCCAATCCATTCTAAGTTGGTAAAATTGTGCTCCATTAGGTTGGTCTGTCCCGGAGAACAGCGAACTATCATGTCGATTAAATTAAAATATAATCGTGTGTGTCTATTGAGCGCAAAGTGAGCCTAATTCTACTCCATAAACTATTCACTGTTCCTATCCCGATTTCTTTTTATGACATTTTACAGAACCCTTCCCTCATACACCCACTTCAGGGTGATCAATCTTACTCGTTAAATCGGTTTCAACTGCTTTCACTCAATTTGAGGCACTAGAACTGATAGGCGATATCTGTTGTGATACGTTAAACTTCCCTCCACTCTTGTCAAATGCAGACTCAAATTTCAGTTTATTTACGATGAGACCTAGGAACCGCATGTCGTACATCTGCAGGTTAAGGGTGCAAAATTGTTCGGCTGTAACACCCCTTCGGTGCATAGCTTTAATGCCACCCGAACGAAGTACGAGGGCTGAGGTTGCCCAAACCTAGACAGGAGAGATGCAGAGATCAGTAGGTCAGTAGGTTCGCACCCTGACCACTGAGATATGTCGAGCTCAAGAATGTAAAATAAAATCCAATATATGTTGGATAATACATCTATCTGGTCTGATGGCTTGCGAACTACCTGCATTTTCAGTCGTGTATCAGAGTAATTCGTGCTTTCCCAATCCAGACTGTACAACCCTTTATGTGGAATACGCCACAGGAAAAATTCACATACTCTAACGCCCTCGACGAAAATGTTAAAGTCTTATTTTGTCTTTCAGAAAGTAACAAATTCATTGATGCTGCCATCAGAATAGCTCTGTGATACCCATTGCGTCGCCTAATCTAGAAAGTAGCACAGGTGATAAGAGGCATTCTACTTTCACGCTGGTGGTGGGTTCATTCTCATAGGTCTCTTCGTCATAAACTCGAATTCGTGTATTCATTGACGAATAATATCCTTTGGTGAGGAAAGCTGGTTCGGTCAGTGAACTGTCAGCGGTCAGAATGGTCCATAATGACTTGTGATAGGTGTAGTCAAACGCAGCGCGATAGGCAATGAAGCACACAATGTTTGACGTTTGGAACTTGGTTGAATGCACCGTAATGTGAATATTTTATCCACGGAAGTCATCATGATTTGGTCATGTTAGAATATCTCATGTTTCCAAGAGGCGTGCGAGAGTGATTTTCCAACAATTTTCGTCTATCGTTATGTTACTTCTCGTGGATATTTAGTATGAAGTCGAGATGCCTTAGTCAGTTCTATGCAGCCATTGTGGAGCAGATTGACTTTCTAATTGGCAGTTGAATATAGCTCTCAAGTGGACCGTCGAAACGTGTGTAACGCGTTCGGCCTTCACTGGGGCTCAACAAAGACCAGCAGCCTCACACATGGTGCAGTTGTAGACGCAAAAATTGAGATAAATCCATGATAGGTTGACTCGTTGGCTAATTTAAAGGGCATCAGGATATGGGTCGTGACGGTTAGTACGTGGGACTATCAATTGCATTGCTGCTTTTTAAAGAACCCCAATTTTATTAACCTGTCCTGTCCATGACGCCTTCGTTTCACCTGAATGCTATTAGATACAACCACTAATGACAGACACATACACGCATTTCACTTCTTTTGTTTTGCTTAGATTGTTTCGAATGAATTGGGGTGTCGTTTAATGACTATTTGAATCCTTTTCACAGAGTTGTTTCCCTAATTCTGCCGTCTCGAGGTTTTCGAAGCAGAGAAGTGAAAAAATATTACGCTGAAGATGGGACCTTCAATCCTCCAGTTCAAGATGTCATCGATCGTTTCAAGCGACTTCGATGGGGAGCGTTCGTACATGCCCGATCGGGTCGGAGCAAACATCTTTATCGGTAAGTGACGAAATGAACGTTTTAAATTACATTAGTACTAACGGGGACTCAACTGCGTCTCTCTTCTGTAATATTCTTCAACCGTATGTGCTCTACAAAGAAGTATCTAAACATCGTACACCGTATGCGATGCATTCTTGCGTCACAGAGTATGGTTTGTTACTCGTGGCAATTTTATGCGAAGTTGACCTCTTAACAGTAAACGGTACACAGCTTGTCAGTTCTGCTGGTTTCTGTCCTTTTTGTGACCTGTCATGACCTGAATGACTGACATCCGATTCGGATCAGCCAGTCAACAGTAGTAACACCAGCGGAAGGAGGGCCACGGACAGTTTGGGCGAAGCTGAATGTGATACAGCATGCACTCAACCCTTCACTGACGATGTCACGTCGATTGGTGATGAAACTTTGCAATCCCAGCGGAAGGAGGGCCACGGACAGTTTGGGCGAAGCTGAATGTGATACAGCATGCACTCAACCCTTCACTGACGATGTCACGTCGATTGGTGATGAAACGTTTGCAATCCAACTGCCAAACTCGGCGAACAGACCAACAACCAAACAGCACGCCCGAACTACCTACGTTCTACAACATTGCTGGTAGCATGCAATCTATCGGCATAAATGTAGGCCCCAAGGACTAGCATGGGTAGGCGAAGGTGCTGTTCCCTCTTCCTGGTCCCTGTGCCCTAAAAAAGATGGCCGAAGAATGGATATCGGCACCGGTCACTTGATATCCTCGAGGTACCGGCGTCGTCTGTCAAGTCCGTAATACCTCACGTCCGCTAGTGTAGCACCGGACGAATGTTTTCGGGAGCTAACCATCAACTCACCGTCAACTCACCATCTGGTATATTTTCCTTTTGATAATCTTAATCAAAGGATTGGTATTAGGACTTGAATTTAAATTAGCCATTCTTGTCTCCTTTGGTCAGATATTTTTTTCGTTTCGGAGTTCCCACTCTCTTCCTGCTTCACTTTTAGGCGCTCCGATACGATGCGCGACAAACTACAGGAACACATCCTAACCAATCGTGCAACATCTTTTCTACTGAACAATATGCTCAATTATCAGTGGCGTGCGCCCAGATACTATCCCGAGGACATTTATGAACCTTATCATAGACGAACCGGCGTTCCTTGGGATTATGCTCAGAGAAAACCAAAGTTCTTCCCCTAGTTAGATTGGTTTCAAGTACACGCTTGTAGAACTATCTTTTACTTCTCATGATTACGGCCACCAATGCCCGATATCTCATGCTTGTAGGAATTCCGCACATGTAGATTTTTGATTCGTTTTATTAGAACACACCAACCGAGTAACTATCTGGTTTACGCAGCAGCACAACGTAAGTGGAACTATGAACACTAGATAGACCAAGTTCTATGTGAATGACTGCTCACTGCTGAGGATGGTGCCTACGTGGGAAGAGTAGGTTATACCACTTTACTGACAAATGCTGAGCTCATTATCCCTGTTCTCATTGACCCTTCTTAGGAGGGGTTTCCCAGCTGAAGAATGCAGCCGAGTTCAAGTATCTGTCGCAACATGGTTATGCATCCGGCAACGTGTGTTTTATACATTTTGATGCTGTAAGCCAAGTCTTATATAGTGTAACCTCCAAATAAGAACCTCCTAAAGTAACGATGGGGGTTCCCCGGCATGCACGATATGGCGTGAAATTCCCCACTCCTCATAAATATTAAAAAAAGCTCGATTTTCCCTAGTATTCCATCATCAGGAGGCTACAGTGGTAAACAGTTGCTTGTCTTTTTGGAATTTCATTTCTATTGGTCGTGGTAACCGTTGGTAACGTCCACTGGTGCTTCACGGTTTTACTTCAGCGGCAGTTATCTCTTCAATTTTCACACAAAAAACGCTGTTGCGACTCGCGTTAGCAGTGATCGACAGGCTTTACCCAAGTTGCTGATGGGTGATATCCTGGACTAGTATATCACATCTACTCTCTCTTGTTTCAACACTCGTTTAGCTGCTTATCTGTCTTATCCATCTATCTATAAATCTACCATTTATCTACTTATCTATGTTAGCTCTAGGGAGATAAACAAGGGTCACCGATAATTCCTTAATCTGCTGGTGGTGATAGAAATAGGCGTACAAAGTCCTTATCTCACCGACGAGGTAATTGCTTTTCAAAAATGTTTACATCATGCTCACATTCAGATATATCACGGTGATCGAATTAATCCAGCTGAAAAGACGGTGGTTGAGAGTTAGCATTCCTGAATGTGCCCTTGATGAAAAACAACCAGTTGTTTAGGTGAACTTGTGAATTAATTGTAGCTGTGAACCACAGCATCCTTATATGCACTGTAGACTGGTGTGTCAGCGACCGAATAAACAATAGTGCATCCTCAACGCTAGCACAAAACTGTAAGCTGCCTGATACGTCTTGGTGTTCTCAGGTGATGGGCCAACATTGTATACATCTACTTCACTGCCATATGATTTACCTAGATTACTTTAAAAGAGTGCGAACAGCTCTCAATCATTCCGTATCCACCCTATACTTTATATGTATAACTCGTACCTGCCATACCCAAGTTACTTTATGTGAATAGCCTGATGAACTATCTTGGCATATCTGCCGTTGGATGTGATCATTTGCTAATGATCTGGAGCACTGGAAGGTGTGGGTTATTCTTGTCAGCTTGTCGCCCTGTCCTAAGCGCCATTTACACCGCCTGGAAAAGTGAGACAGTTAAGATAGATTTGATTTTCTCATGCCAGTTAGTCAAATTTTCGTCCAACACACTGTTTACCAGTGCTGCAGATAGAGTACTGTGGTGATCGTTGTCGAAGACTGAATATCAGGTAAATATGCAAGAGTTGATTCCAAATGCAAAAGGTATTGACTGCTTGGTTGTCGTATAGAATTAGCGGAATCGGAACGTAATTAGTGCGAATGATGAATCTTCTCCAAGAAGGGAAATGGGATAGATAACCTCCTGGGAGATCCTAGCATACGTGCCCTAACCTTTTGTTTCATGCAGATTCTCAAAGGTAGGCACAGTCAAGAGCAGTACAACGAGCGTACGGATTTAAAAATATACTGCAGTTACATGTAGTAGAGATGTGAACTTCAGTGAGCCAGAAGTGTGAGGTCGTTCTATTTAGTAGATTTCCCATCCATATAATGAATTGAGTTTTTGTGCAGCGAACAAACCATAAACACGACGAATATAAACTCTCAGGGGTTTTTCAACAATAGATACATTTGGGATTGCGACTCGCTTTGGTTGGTCCGGTTACGTCTAGGCCTGTGTTATCTACTTCTTTGTGCTGCATGCAACTGAGCACATTTACGCCTTCGTCATGGAAAACTTTCACTTGACTTAGCAATCCTAAAGGTGACTCGATGTGAATTTACGGAATCCCAACTTCAGGCATGAATACATCGCAGTTATGTTGCACTTGCATTCACTCTCTGGGTTCAAGTATTGCAATGTGAATTAATCTGACTGGTGCGATTCAGATTGCTTTCTTTGGGTGCTTGAAAGAGGATTTCAGGCTTGCAAGAAATATTCCCGTGGTGAGTCCCGACCATATTAAAATTTAACCACCCAGAGATTTTGTATAAATATATGTATTTCGAAATTGTACCAGGCTTATTCAAAAGTTTGTGCACGCAGACTATTCTACCGAATTCCAGCGGTGTATCTGTAGTGACTGATATGTAACGTATCTACGAACAGGAGGGGGAATGGTGCGGATATTACCTCGCTGGATATGGCAGCCACAACACAATGTATTTTTCGGCGGTTCAAATGCCGATGAGTTTCATAGGTAGAAGTACATTTCTAACAGCGAAAAAGGTGACCAACTGATGATACTCATTTGGAATATGGTTTTCGTTCGTTGAAACCTGATGGGATCCATTATAGTAGGACACCTCATGCATTTTTGTGACATCATAGGGGACAATTTCAAATTCGGGGTGTTGGTTGGCGACGTATATTCACAAGTGGAACTGTTTCCAAAATTCTTCCGTACATAACCTGTCCAACTCAGTCGGTGTCAAAGTTTGTTCCGTATTCGTCAGTACAAACTGCTCGGGATAGAGGGGGTAATGGCTGATGTTAGCTGGTGATTTTTAGCATGGAGTACGTACACCGCCTAGGTATGTGAGAGATTGTCGCCTTCAAAGACTTGAGGAAAATTGTCCCACGTTCAAATAGTTCTCGGATGCCAACCCATTATGTCCTATAGCTTGTATTTGATGCGACGGCTCAAAAGCTCACCTTTTAATTCGTCGTCTTCTCATCACCACAACCTGCTACTTTGTTTTTTGGGGGCTTCGACTAATCCATCACAGCAATGGTTCAATCACCGTATTCTTTCAGAATATTGAAAACTTAGTGTAGCTGGACGTTCCGTTTGACCTTTCAGTCTGGTGAATGTCAGTTTTTCCTTCATGTTCCTTTGATTTAGTGATCAGTCGCCACATGATCTGATCTTATCCTCTCAGTAGTACACAGGGGAGAAACCGGTAACTACTTGGTCAACTAGGTTGAGTCACAGACGTTCCTCACAGGCACGTGCATCTGTTGGCGAAATACATTTTCCTATTTCACCACATCGCTTGCTCTGATAACTGTCGTGTATGAAGTGGCCTCCGCAAACAGTACTCTTGGCATCCTTTCCATTATTTAAAACTTCTGGCCAAATCACTTCTGAGTCAGCTTACGTATTCGTGGATTGAGCGGCTAGTAAAATGAATGGTATGCTGCTATGACGTAGGGCGGCACCTCAAAACCACCTCAGAACCATGCCGGCCATCGAATATCAACTGAACGGATTTATTATAACGAAACACCCGCCGTAAAAATTTTACTCCCACCCTCGAAATTCACGTCGGATACAGCTCATCCATCCGTTTTTTAATACCTTGGCAAAAATCATAAATTGGTAGATGGGGCTATAATCCTTCCCGCCACTTAACGTATCGCACAAAACGTGGAGCATTTCGGCTACAACTAAAAATTAAGTGCTCATGTATCCAAGCTTGCATTGCTCTTGCAGTAAATGCTCAACGATCGTCGGTTCTAGTTCGCTGTGTTATTAAGCGAGCATTAACCTGAGAAATCGGTCACTTCGTATTCAGTAATGGAGCAGATACCGCGGACGCTTGAGCGCGCTCTGTGGTAGAGTGAGCATTTGACCCATTATTTTAGCTACTTCAAAATAACAAGTAGTGTATATCAGGACCCGTGAGTCATGCTCCAAAGCACGGGGAATGTCGATTTTTAGGGAGGATTCAGTGCATTTGGGAAACATTCCACAATGTTTAACCAACGTGAAAGGGACCACGTGAACGCCGGGAGGATCTATTGGCATTTTTCGGATTTTACGAAATAGGCTGATCTCATCGTGAAACGCGACTTAAGGGTTTCGAGAATCTCTGCCATGGGCTTGCAAACTGAAACAGTGGCTGTGAAAACGAATAAATTTTTCTCTAAAACCCATCCTATAAGTGAGTTTCTCGCCGGAAATGGCACGAGAGTCGGAAGTATGAAGTTAGAATCATAAAAGTATACTTCAACAAAGACGCCAGAAACCTGCATAGTTTTGGCAATGCGAAGAAGATCTTGCACTTTCCAGTTTACCCGACTAAGGATAAGGATGCATGAAAAATATTGACCAAATGTGCCTGGAGGTTGATTGAGAATCTTCAGGTTCCATTTATTTTCGACTACGGTTGAATGGTGACACGTTTCCAACTTGCTAAGCTGATCAGTAACTGTGTCAGACTAAGTTGCAGAGTATTCACAACTGGGTGTTTTATGTGATTTGGCTGAACAGAACCGAAATTCCGGTCAACCGTTTAAATACATTGGTTTGTCGCCAGTGGTAGCATTCGTGACGTCTGGCGTGGTGATAGGTGTCCGAAAATGGTGAGAGATAATAGTTCAAGCTTGCGTTTCACACTCCATCGAAGATGGATTGCTGTCAAACCATCCTTGCATTTTCGGCCCAAAACAACGGCGTGCCACAATTTTAACGGTGACAGAAAGATGTATAATACATAAGCGATACACACTGTGGGAAGATTGTACTGAAATCGGTAAAAAAAAGTAACACAGAAAGAAACAAACCCAGAAATGAGATAAAGGGAAAATCCTCAATCCGAAGGATTCTCTGCATCCCCAAAAATTGATATCCCGCTCGATGCCTTCATTACTCATATGTTATAGCCTTTTGTTACATTTGAGGCTACGCGAACAAGCTTGGTCAAAG